CTGCCTGCCTGCCTGCCTGCCTGCCTGCCTGCCTGCCTGCCTGCCTGCCTGCCTGCTTGCTAAACTGTCTACCTGACTATCTCATTACATGGCTTGCTGCTTTGTTGTTTGCCTTTATACCCGCCTCCCGTTTTCCTCGCTTCACTGCTGCCTGCTCTGCCATCCTGCTCGTGGTGTCACCTGCCTGGTTGTCCACTCGCAACAGGGGTTAAAGTAGACTATGACCCGTAGCACCAGTGTGCGGATGATTCTGCACACTGTCGAGGGTTCAGCCTCTTCATGAATCAGTGGGACTCCGATGAAACAGTCTGTCATGTCCCTTGTCCTTCTCGTCCTACCGAGGCTTTGTTTTCCAGCTGAATTCATTATGATGTTAGTTTAGACCTTGCTTTAACGCACCGCTTAAACCACCCCAGGACATCCCATACGTCGGCCACGGGGCCCCCTTTCGGAGGCCGAAACCGGCCGCCTATGTATTATATCAACGGCGCGCCAGCTCTGACTTTTTCGGAGTCGGTGATGAACAAGTCTCCACAAGGACGAGGCCGTCTTACATGTACTAAGGTTTAAACTTAAAAGTTAAAAAACCACCAATACAGTACATGGGCCCAGGCAACTGGAGAACTGGTGAGTAGGCGACAAACAAGTCTCAAGTTGCTAGAGGTTTAAACTTAGAAGTTAAAAACCACCAGTACAGTACATGGGCTCTCAAGGCTGTCTCCCTTTTTTTTTTGTTAAAGTAAAGAGGGGTGGTCTGTAACTAGAGTTAATGTGAGGGGAGTGCTACGTGTGAATGTTTCCCTCCCTCGGTCCCTCTTGATGGACGACCAGGAAGGGGCAAAGGTACGGATTTCGACTAGCCCCTACCGGGTATGGCTCTCCATCCGCACCAGGCCAAGCTTTTGGCTGTCACATAACCGCCACACCCACTCACAAGAACACGTGTCTGTTGTATTGTTGGTCATATTGTCATGTTGTCAGTCACATGGACAGGAAATTAGAGTACAGAGGTTGTGCCAACCGGAGGACAAAGCAGACCGACGACGTTCAGACAGCCAAGCAGATAAACAGATTTGCAGAGAGACCAGTGAACACATAGATTGTTCAGAGGACAAGGGCTGAGACCATTACAACCCTTTCAGGCAGTCGGACAGCTACCATCTTCACCTGAATCAAATGCCTGGTCATTATAGCTGTTCTTGGGCCAACTTTCAGACCAGATGCAGCGATAACGACCGTGCATTTTATTTGGGTGAAGGCGGTAGTCAGACATTCAGTCAATGAAGCAGTCAGACGGATATACTGGCGAGTTGATAAGTGGTCACATAAATAGCATAGCCGTGAGGCAGACCAGGTGGCAGGCAGACAAACGGATAGCCAGATAGCCAAGCCTGGCAGGCAGACAAGTAGTATGAGAGGCAATCTGTCAGTCAGTTCAGCCTGGGTGACGGAAAGGGAGAAAGACAGATAACACAGAAAGTCGTCTCGTTTGAATGAAAGGAAGGCAGACAGATACACAGAAAGTCGTCTCACTCGAATGAAAGAAAGGCAGACAGACAGACAGACATTTAGTCAGAACAGAAGGGTGATATGTATAATGTAGGTGATGTGTGGATGTGCGTGTGTGTGTGTTTTAGTGTGTTGTCATGTTCACTTTACCCAACTCCACAAAAGAAGCATGACTGTGCAACGACTTGCTGATTTCAACTGCCGAGACTGACTGCGAGGCTGTACAGTGTACTGCGGTGTTTGCTGCGTGCTTTGCTGTGTTTTTTGTCCGCACTGAGGGCCGCCCGCTGTTCTAAAAATAGCCTGAATTAACAGCAGAAGGGGCTGAGTAGTTACCGGCCCTAAGTGGCCTTGAGCCCTAAGTGCAGCAGCAGGACCGATTTCGTAGAGGCCGAGCAGTCCCTAACTGAAACGGTACCGGTAGGTCCTAGGCTAGGGTAGTGTAGAATCTACAAGTAGGTTGGGGTAGGTGTTACATCTTCGACGCCACACGGGTCCTACCGGACCCGACTTAGGGCTAGAGGGACACACCAGGGCCTAAAGGCCCGACCTTGGGGTACTACAGGCCATAAAGGCCTCACCTTGAACCAGACCCGACGGGCAGGCCCAAACGACATTACCGTTTGGGGCCTGGCGGCGCTCTTGAGGCTGCCGCCCGCCGGTTGGGGCTGAACCGTCCATCTGGACGGTTCAGGGCACGGCCAGGCCTCGCAGCAGTGAGGCCGGCCTCTGCCCACCGGTATAAAGAACCGGTCCGGCCTCACTTCGAGGCATCGAACCACCGGCACTCTACCGGTGCGTTATGGTCAGCGCCAGAGCGCTGTTTTGATGCGCTAAGTTTAGCGCAGGAGCGAGCAAGGAGCAGCAGCGGCAGCGAAGCATTAGCACAACGGCAAGCGGAGCAGCAGCAGGGCGACTGAGCCAGCACGGCGGCCATTGCCGCCTGAGGTACCTGGGAGCAGAGGACCTCTCCTCCCTCCCTCGTCAGCTCTCTCTCTCTCTCTCTCTCTCCTCCTCCTCCTCCTTCTTCTTCTTCTTCTTCTTGGTACTTACCTGATTGGAGACTTGGAGATTGTTGAGGTTGATACTCGGCTGCATCACAATTGGACACGGGTTACATCTGGACTCTGTATCTCCGACATTGGTGACCTATGGGCCTCGACATTTTGATCCTGTTGTATGACATTTTGGACTACCATATCGGAGACCTATCAGACTCTATCTATCGGTGTTGTCTACCTCCCCACCTCCTTCGTCTCTCCTCCCACCTTTCATCTGTGAATGCGTGTACGGGATCTGGGCATCGTCTATGAATGGCCCAGACCCCACCATCTCACGATTGTATGTGTGTGGAGTGATGCTATGTGAGTCAGTCTATGTGAGTCAGTCTTTGTGAGTCAGTCTATGTGAGTCAGTCCATTTATCAGACTTCCGCTGCATATATGCTCATCCTACATTGGTTGATCTTTGGTTCTGCCCATACTCATTGAAGTATGTAACAGTAGGCCTGCGTAGGACTTTTTGGTTGTTCATTTTCACGACGCAGCGTTTGGAGAAGCCAAGCAAGTTGGCGGTGGCAATTGTCTACAGGCGGCATCCTGAGACCCTTGCTGTGGACGACAGCCATAGCCGGCCTTCTGAAGGTTGCTGGAGCTGGGGCATCCTCGGCGCATCTACCCCTGAGGGTATCTGCGTCTGGCCAGGCTATATCGAGGCTCCTCACTAAGTGTTTGTGGGTGGTGGCAGCCATAGCTGCCTGGTTCTTCGTCAGAGTTGTCCATCGGCACTGAAGACTCCATCGCAGGATCTGTTCTTCATCTGGGTGGTTGGCGCTGGCCTCCGGGAGGCTGTTTTAGTTGTGCGCTACTAACAGGGTGTAGGGTAGAGAGTGGAGTGTGGGGTTCTGAGTGTGGCGAGATACTGGAACAAACTCTGTAACGATACTGGTTTAATTGGCTCTTCATCAGTGTGAATTCCAATTGTTATCCTTGCAGGTTCTTCTTGTGATTGGTTGTTGGGAGTTTGTCAGAGAGTGAGAATCACGCAGTGTCTTCTCCCCATCTGTGCATGGTCGAACTTCCGCTACATACTCTTATCTGTGTACAGTTGGACAGTCTCCTCTCCCCCTTCTCTTATGCATGTATGGGCGTGTATGAGACTGTCTGTGTGTGAGTGGCGGTAAAAACCGTCAGACCACCAAGGTCATAACAGTTGGTATCAGAGTCGGATTGGAATTGGAGCACTGAGGGTTGAGCGAAATTGGGGCATCTTCTTCATCTGGTAATATACTGGCGAGAGGTTCATGGCGATTCATCTTCCCCAGTACTGAGTCAGTAGGGAAGAAGATTTCAAGCGGCGAAATCCAGAGTTTAGTGTTTGTACTGAGCAAGCGCACTGAGCCTGTCAGGGCGCTTGTAAGGAAGTGGCAAGAACATGGCTAATTCACCATAGCCAACCTTGAGGGCAGGTTAGCGAAGTGCCCTAGAGTGGCGAATTACCCCTGAGGACTTCAGGGATCACTGAGCGGCTTCATCCCTAAGCAGCGCTGAGGGAGATTGACAATCAGTGTCAATCTCAGGTGAAAATAACCCCCTCTGGGCTATTTATAGCATCAATGGCCGAGGGGACCTGTGGCGAGATAATTTTTTGTTGGCTTCTGAGTGCCACAGGGTCAGATTCAGGGAATCTGACAGCAAGGGTTGCAGCGCCTCAAGATCCTGAAGAGAATCAACAAGTTTGAAGTGGTTCTGTGCGTGGGACAGAGAGGAGGAAACTCTGGAAGAAACTGGCGAGATGAGGGTTTCAGTCTGCCGTAGCCAGATCTTCACCCAGCTCTGAAAGAAACTCTGGAAGTGAGTCCGTTCCATGCACCTACCTGTATAGCGATTCAGATGGGATTAGATTAGTCGGTAATTATGGTCTATCTGTCTGTCAGTGACTGGATGTGAAAATCGCAGACTACATGACAACCATAGCCTTTCTCTGCTAATTTCTAACCCTCTGTTGACTCTTTTGCATCCAAAACTGTTCTGTGACTGCCTTACTGTATTGCGCTTGATTTGGGATGTTCACACTGTGAATTCTGTACTGGAAAAGTAGTGATACTGTGAGTTGTAGCTTTGCGCTGAGTCTAATTATAGCCTGTGCTAGCTAGGGTCAGTCATAACTTCAATTCTGTCCGTCAGAATTCAATTCTGCCAGTTCCCAGTGAATCGCAATCCAAAATTAGTAATTACTGCATAAGCACTCAATTGGATTTCTAGTATTTCACTAAATACAGTGAATACTATACTTCGCCATACCCTAGGGTATGGCTGCCAGAGTCATCAGGGCCAAAATTGGAGTCTGAGTTAGGATTTAGGGTTTCTGACTGAATCGCTCTGCTTGTTTGATCCTTCTTGTCTGTACTTGCCATGTTTTGTCATTCTCACTGACTACTCTTGTTTTCTAGTGGGCTCTGGAAATCTAGTGTTTCTCTGGAAGAGTAGTGGATGGTGTCTACTAACTCCAGTGTGGTGCAGGGTCAGTAGAAGGAAATCGTGTGAATGATTTTACTGGACTACCAGTCTGTCTGACACCTGACCCCAGGGAAACCATTCTAACCCAAACCGTTTGTTGCCTATTCACCCACCTACCTCTATGTATGAGGCAGCAGCGATTTCTGAGTGTCTGCAGGAAATTGAAAATCGCTGCATACTCCTCTGCTTGTCTATTATGTATTGTTGATTTGAAAGTGGAAAATGGCGGAACAGGGTGCTCAGCAGCAGCCACAGGTAGAAGTGGTGATGAAGGTAGAAGGGCAAGAACCATCTACCTCCGCCCAGCAGCAACCAGAGGTAGAAGTGGTGATGAAGGTAGAAGGGCAAGAACCATCTACCTCCGCCCCTACTACTCCTCTGACTGCTGCTCATCAGAAGAAGGAGCTACAGGAAAGACTGCAGCAGGAGCAGGCCCTGCTTGCAGAATGGAGCAGCTAGCCAAGGTCCTGACAGATGACCGCTGCTCCAAGGTGAATAAGAACCTGGCGGAGTGGGCTCTTTTGGAGCACAAGGCCACCAATTCTTATTTCACAAACTGGGATGATCGAATCGGTCGCCTAGAGCGCAAGGTGGATGACGTGGCAGCTCAGCAGTCCAAGATACTGAACGCAATTCAGGATCTGACTGCTCAGCTGACAGCAGCCAAACTGATTGCTCCCCAGCCTCCTGCCCTCTCAGCCAAACCTAAACCTTCTCCTTCTCTTTCTTCAACTCCCTCTGGTTCGCGTCATTCTTCCCCTTCACCATCTCCTTCCCAAAAAGCCTCAGCCAAACCCACCTTTGCTGCTATTGTTAGAGGGGATCAGAGAGGTCCCAAGATCCCTGCCCCCAACAAATTCAGAGGAGATGACCCCAAGATTGATGTTGGGGACTGGGCTGCAGGGACCAGGGCTTACTTGAGGGGCTTCATATGCCCTGAACAGATAAAGGTGGCTACAATTCTGGGACTGCTGGAGGGGCCTGCACAAAAGTGGGCTACCTCTACCTCCAACGGTCTGCAGAAAACCATGGAGGATTGGGCTTTGGGATTGGGGGTAGACAGTCTTTTGCAGGCTCTGGAAGACCGCTTTGCAGACAAGGAGCGGGCCCGCAAAGCTGCTGACAAGATTGCACGCCTGGGGCAGCAGCGTTACAGCGGTTCCCTGCAATCGTTGTTTGTAGAGTTCGAGCAGCTAACTTCCACACCTGGTTTGGTCATGTTTGTAGATGACCTACTAACAAACTTCTGCAGGGCAGCCCCTGAGAAGTTTTCTGTTGCATTGTACAGCGCTGGGCACAAGGATTGGAGATCCTTTGGCTGTGCAGCCCTGGACATGGAGGCAAAACTTCATGTCCAGGCCCCCTCCTCTGACAGGAGGAAAGGTGCCTTCCCTCGTGGTGGTAGAAAGGGAAAGGCAGCCTTTGCGCATGCAGGGGCTGCATCAGCTTCTGATTCAGACTCCCAGGCTGATACACCATCAGCTGGGACTGGATCAGCTGCTGAAACAGACATTGCAGCGGCCCTGACTCAGGCTGTTCTGGGAGTTCTGCAGCAATAGAAGAGATTCTCCCCCACCACAGCCTTAGCCAGGGGGAAGGACAAGGGACGTCGGCCTTCCTCCTCCTAGCGCCCTAATCTGCCCAAAGACGTCCGTATGCCAGCTGACCCACTCAATCCCTCCACTCTCCCCTGGCATGACCTCTGGCATGACCTCAGGAGGGAGTGTGGAGAACAAGAAAGGAAAGAGGGGTCTACTTGAGGTGTGAGGGACAACACTTTTTAAAGGACTGCCTTTACATGCTAGGCCCAGTCAGTCAAAAAACTGAAACAGACCCTGGGGACTGCAGTTCCCCCCAGTGCTGCACCTTCATCTACTCAGGTAGGTGAATCTGCAGCTGTTTCAGTTGAGACTGTATGTGAGTGTTTGGGGACTGCACGGACAGCATCCTTCTGCTATGAGGATCCTGACCCGGATCAGGACCCGGGGCAGGATGAGCTTCAGTCACTTGCTGCTTTCTTCCTTCACCTGAAGGAACAAAAGAGAAACAACTCTATCTCATCCTACTTCGGCCACTGATCAATCACATCAGGATCAAAGGGTTGTTGGATTGTGGAGCCACTAGGAACTTCATATCTCCCAGTGCTGTAAAGAAACTGCATCTAGGTATGAAAGTTCAGCAGTTGCAGCAACCTTTGCTGGTCAGAATAGGCGACTCCACTGTTCTTACTATCAGGGAGAAGGTCAGGGGTATCCCTGTTACCTTCGACAGTGCTGGAGAAGTCAGACACAGTCTGAACTTCTACATATTCCCTGACTTACCCTTTGACCTGGTGTTCTCTATGCAGTGGCTTAAGGCCGTCAACCCAAGGATCGACTGGCAGATCCCAAAGGTTGAACTGCCTAACAGACAGGGGGTGCACCAGCCATGTATGATTGCTGCTGAACACCACCCTAAAACCAGTTGCTATTGTCTGAGAGCGAAGGAGTTTTACGCTCTCTCGCGCCAGTATGACCACAAGTGTCTGTTCTTGGCTCTGGTCAAGTAGACAAACGCTCTCTCGCCCCAGTATGACCACAAGTGTCTGCTCTTGGCTCTGGTCAAGTAGACAAACGCTCCTACTGTTTCCTGTCCTCCTGAGATATAGCAGGTGGTGGACCAGTATGCAGATTTGATGCAGGAGCCCTTTGGGTTACCCAACCGGCCAACCAAGCATCGCATTGAGCTGCTATCTGGAGCGGTCCCTCCCAAGGGCTGCATCTACAGGATGTCCCCTGCTGAGCTTGAGGAGCTCAGAAAGCAGCTTGAGACCCTGACCAGCAAAGGCTGGATACGGCCGAGTACTTCTAAATTTGGGGCACCAGTCCTCTTTGTCCCGAAAGGGAATGGATAATTCAGAATGTGCATCGACTACAGGGGTCTCAACGAGATCACTAGGAAGAGTACAAAGCCACTTCCTAGGATCGATGACCTTCTGGACATGGTGCAGGGCTGCACAGTATTTAGCAAAGTCGACCTCAAATCTGGCTACCACCAGATTGAAATGGCAGAGGAGGATGTCTACAAGACAACCTTCAAGACCAGGCATGGTACTTACGAGTTCCTGGTCATGCCATTTGGACTTTGCAACGCCCCAGGTACCTTCCAGACAGAGATGCACTGCATCTTCAGGCCTTACCTGGACATGTTCATGGTTGTCTACCTGGATAACATCCTGGTATTCAGCAGAACTGCCAGGGAACATGCGGAGCACTTGGCTCTAGTCCTTCAGTCGTTACGTGACAGCCAGTATAAGATTAACAGAGAGAAGTCCTCCTTTGGAGTTCCCTTTATCATCTATCTGGTTCATGTAATCTCTGGAGATGGCCTGACTCCTGAAGCAGCCAAGATAGCTGCTATTTAGGAGTGGCCACAGCCACAGACAGTGAGGGATGTCAGGTCCTTCATGGGTTTAGCCTCATACTATAGAAAGTTTGTCAGAAACTTTTCTACAGTGGCTGCACCCCTGACCAACCCAACAAAGAAAGACACTCCTTTTCTTTGGTCCCTTCCCTGTCAGTTGGCCTTCAGACGACTCAAGAAAGCTTTGACTCGTGCACCAGTGCTGAAGTTGCCTGACCCCACTCTACCATTCATCCTGACCACTGACGCCATTTAGTATGGCATTGGGGCAGTTCTTCAACAAGATGATGGGAATGGTCTACGGCCAGTAGAGTTCATGAGTAAGAAGATCAAGACTCAGAAGCTTCATGACTCTACCTACGAGAAAGAGTTGTATGCTCTTGTCCGTGCCCTGAAACATTGGACGCACTTTCTCCTGGGAAGACACTTCAAGATCTTCTCAGATCACTCCACCTTACAATGGATGAAGTCCCAGGGAGAGTGAAACGATAAGTTGGCACGATGTATTCAGTTCACAGACATGTTTCACTTTGAACTGAAACATAAGAAGGGCTGCTACAACAAAGTAGCAGATGCCCTCTCTCGTAGGCCTGACTCTTTTGCATTGATCTCCTCTACTCACTCCTTTGGAGAGCAGACCCGTCAGACCATTGCTAGTCTTCTGCCTCAGGACCCGACTTTTGGACCCATAGTCAGAAATCTACAAGCGGATCCCAATGCTGAACCCGGCTATGCCCTGAGTTCAGACTTGCTGTACACCTACAGCAGAGGTGAGGAACACGTGTGCATTCCCCAGGATCAGCGGCTTAGGACATTGTTGTTGTCAGAGTGTCATGATGCCCGTGGACATTTTGGGTTCTTAAAGTCGTATGCAGCCCTGTCGCAGTGCTTCTTCTGGAAGGCGATGCGGAGTGATATGTTGCGCTATGTGGAAACCTGTGAGCTTTGCCAGAGGAACAAGGTCCAGCGTAGGCCTCCTCTGGGACTACTCAAACCCTTACCCATACCTGATGGCCCTGTTGAATCTGTGTCGATTGACTTCACAGATTTAGGCAAGACCACCCCTCGTGGCATGCGTCAGGTTATGGTCTGCGTGGACAAGTTCTCCAAATACGCAGAGTTCATCCCCTTGCCAGAGGTAGCTAGAGTCCCGACTGTGAGAGCAGCCTTTTCAGAGAGGTGGGTCACACACCATGGACAGCTCACTTCTATAGTCAGTGATAGAGACCCCCGATTTTGCAGCGACGAGTGGCAGTCCTACTGTAAGGACTACCTGCACTCACGATTGGACACGAGTTCTGGTCATCATCCTGAAGTCAATGGTCAGGCTGAAGTGATGAACCAAGTCTTACTCCAATTGTTGCGTCCTGTCATCTTTCCAGATCAACAGGACTGGGATCTCCACTTGGCTCGGGCACAACTTGTTTATAACATGTYTGTCCACTCCTCGACTAGGTTCAGTCCATACCGGTTGCACTGGRGACGTGAACCACGACAGCCTCTCGATGATATCATCGATAAGGCTAAGTCAGACCTGACACCAGGCACCGTAGAGTTCACCAGATGTTATCGCGTAGATTGGAAAGAGCACGGGCGAACTTGTTCAAAGCCCAAAACGCAATGATTGAACAAGCTAATCACCACAGGCGGCCTTCCCCCATCCGCACTGGTGATTATGTCTGGGTAGCCAGTTATGAGCTGTCGAGGGAGGAGGATATCTCCCCCAAGCTGTTGCCTCGTTACTCGGGTCCATGGCAGGTCTTAGATACAGTGGGCGCTGATCCATTCGGCCCATCCTATGTCATTGACGTCCCGCTGCATCTACGAACCTACCCGGTCTTCCATGCATCTAAGCTGCTTCCATTCACTCCAGCTGATGCATTCCCAGACCGGCCTCCTCAATTTGGTCCACCGGTCCTTGGCAAGGGGTATGACGTGGAGTGGATTGAGGATGAGTGGGGCACAGGCCCCGATCGGCAGTATCTTGTGAGGTTCGCTTTCCAACCTCCTTCTGAGAACAGATGGTTCTCCAGAATGGAACTTCTCAAGACGGCAAAGTCAGTTGTTTTACGATATGAAGCGGTTTAGAAGGGCAACCTTCCTCGCCGTTCACCTCGTCTGCATCCCTAGCTCGGAGGTCCTCGCTCCCCGAGGGGGTAAGCCTGCAATTACTTGCTGATTTCAACTGCCGAGACTGACTGCGAGGCTGTACAGTGTATTGTGGTGTTTGATGTGTGCTTTGCTGTGTTTTTTGTCCGCACTAAGGGTCGCCCGCTGTTCTAAAAATAGCCTGAATTAACAGCAGAAGGGGCTGAGTAGTTACCGGCCCTAAGTGGCCTTGAGCCCTAAGTGCAGCAGTAGAACCGATTTCGTAGAGGCCGAGCAGGCCCTAACTGAAACAGTACCGGTAGGTCCTAGGCTAGGGTAGTGTAGAATCTACAAGTAGGTTGAGGTAGGCCTGTGTAGAACCTTTTGGCTGTTCATTTTCGCAACGCAGCGTTTGGAGAAGCCAAGCAAGTTGGCGGTGGCAATTGTCTACAGGCGGCATCCTAAGACCCTTGCTGTGGACGACAGCCATAGCCGGCCTTCTCAAGGTTGCTGGAGCTGGGGCATCCTCGGCGCATCTACCCCCGAGGGTATCTGCGTCTGGCCAGGCTATATCGAGGCTCCTCACTGAGTGTTTGTGGGTGGTGGCAGCCATAGCTGCCTGGTTCTTCGTCAGAGTTGTCCATCGACACTGAAGACTCCATCACAGGATCTGTTTTTCATCTGGGCGGTTGGCGCTGGCCTCCGGGAGGCTGTTTTAGTTGTGCGCTACTAACTGGGTGTAGGGTAGAGAGTGGAGTGTGGGGTTCTGAGTGTGTCGAGATACTGGAACAAACTCTGTAACGATACTGGTTTAATTGGCTCTTCATCAGTGTGAATTCCAATTGTTATCCTCGCAGGTTCTTCTTGTGATTGGTTGTTGGGAGTTTGTCAAAGAGTGAGAATCACGCAGTGTCTTCTACCCATCTGTGCATGGTTGAACTTCCGCTACATACTCTGATCCGTGTACAGTTGGACTCTGTCTCCTCTCCCCCTTCTCTTATGCATGTATGAGCGTGTATGAGACTGTCTGTGTGTGAGTGGCGGTAAAAACCGTCAGACAACCGAGTTCATAACAACTGTGCGAGACCGATTTGTCGGACTTTCACTGACTCATCAGGAGGGCGAACCTGGACAGTCACTCCGCGCAGGATACATTTG